CACCCAACTTTATATTTAGGTTTGTGTGTTCAAGGGCCCCTTGAATGTGTCAGGGTATCCATGTCACTCTGACATCCCAGGTTGTGCATCTATATTTCATAAACACTGCTTTTTTGAGTAACTCTTTTTCGGTGAAGGGGCAGTATAGACGTTTTAGATGTGTGTAATATGAAAGTGACGATGGTTTTTTTTTTTTTTTTTTTTTTTTTGTCTTAGAACCCAAACTCTCCAAGAAGATCTAAATCATTAAAACATAAAAATGGTGAGTTGCAATGGTGAGAAAACGTTGACATATGATGGTAACGATCACACTCACTGAAGTGATATATATATATATATATATATATATATATATTTTTTTTTTTTTCTGTCCCCCCCCCCAACCCCCTCGCACAATAGGAATGTGGTCAGAGACGATTCCGGATGGTAATTAACTTAACGTTACTAGCCTAAATGAGGACCAAAAATAAGAGAAACCGAAAACGCAAAATCGTAACGCCTCCTTTAAGTGTCGCGCTTTGCTCCTTGCTGAACAAAAGCCTTTCATGCCCGTCAATCTTGATGCGTCGATATTTTGATGCGCTGGATTCTCCCTTCTGTCGTAGCCCCGCCCCCTCCCGATCATGGCTAGCTCCGGCTGCCAGGCGGGACGTTTTTGGAGTTCGGCGCAGTCTCTTTTGGGCCGGCGAGTGTCGTCTGGGTCAGTGTGCATAGGGATGTTGACATTCTAATCGTTGCAGCGTTATGGGGCCCCTGGCAACAGGGGACGGAATGGGAGTGGCGCCGCATGATGGTGAGGGATGAACCATTCTCTCAGCATGGGGGGGGGGGTGTGTGGGGTTTTAGAGGGGCTGGCAACTGCAAACCCCTTATCCACCCCACTCCTACCCCAACTCAACGCTGTGCAATGTCCAGGGAGAAGGTGCCCTGGATTTGGGGACCGACTGCCTGGAATCGGAGCTTCTGGCATCCGAAAAGGATGCTGAGGCCTCATGCAGTGTGACACTTCGTCCCAACAGGTGCACACAATTCTGGGAAATACCATTAAAGAGTGCAATTTTTTTTTGTGTGTGTCTTGTAAAATGCTGGGGACGATTACAATTTTGGCTTTTTTTTTTTTTTTTTTTTTTTAAATGATGAATGTTCTGGATATTTTAACCTGTATGTAGATGTAGGCTGGCAGAGTACAAGCGAGCTGGATGTGGCACAAGGTAGCCACCTTGTCTCGTTGGTTGGGCAATTTGTCATCTCTGGTTATTGGACATGGAGTTTGCTCCTGAGGAACGGGGCAGGTTGGGGTGGACCTTCACCCGTTCCGTGCAGCGGTCAGGTCTGGACCACCTCTTCCGATCTGCCTGGCGTGTGTTTCAAACCTTAAAGATGACAAAATAGGACATTTCTGTGAACCGACGCTCAGGAATTTACAGCGTTCCCAGAATGCGGGCACGCCCACACTTCCGACACCTGATGCGCTCGACCGCGTCTTGATTTGATGGCTGCTGATCATGTGACTGTTTAGTGTTTTGGTAGTTAAAGGCTTGGATTTATTTTTGTTTCATATGTTTGCCTACTTTTTTTATAAATGTACATCATGTGTTGTAAGGAGTTGCATGTATATCTCTTCATGTGTCCACGTTGTGTAAAAATATGTATTGGAATATGAAATAAATTTCAGTGCTGCTACCTAAATACCTAATATTAAATTTCAGTGTTGCCCTGCTTGGGGCAGGGAGGGGGGTGGCTGTCTCCCTCCAACCAATAAATGAACAACTTGAACCGAAACCAAAATACACCAGACTGACCCATGATTGTTTTTCCATAGGCTTACAGGGCCTTGATTCAAATTCATTTCCCACGCACTTTTAATTAGTATCAGTGCAGTGTTACCTAATGTCACCCCCACCCACCCATCCACTTAATTCGTTTCCTTGTTCTGGTGGCTGGTTCTCAGGACTGAGGTCAATGTCTTGACCACGCACTCTCATTTAGACAACCATGCATAATGTGTTTTGCATCTTCAGGTCTATTTACAGAGCAGCAAGTAACTTTTAGTGAATTCGTCCCATTGTGTGTGACCTGATTGTTTGTATTTAATTACCTCACCTTCAGTATATTGAGTGGATAAAGGCCTATTGCTCTTTGTGTACAAGAGTAGTGGATATATGAGTACTAGGGAATTGTGCATTTCACATGCTGTCTTTTGAAGTTATTTTGCCTGTAAAAGGATCCATAGTCAATAAGCTCTCTTCTATTTCCAGGGGAACATAGTAATAGTGTCAGCTCTGACCCGTACAAGGTAACCAGTGTTTCCCTGCTATTGTCATGTCCTCTCTGGCAAACTGTAAGTAAGCGCCTCATTCGCCGGCGTTGCTTGGCGTGGCGAGCAAATGCCTTGTGCTGTGGGCTGCTGTGCTGTGGCTGTGCTCTTCGCCGCTGTGCTGAAAGCCTGTGCTCTCCCCCCTCCCTTCACCACAGTACGCCTATAACTCCGGCATCAGTTACGAAACCCTTGGCCCGGAAGAACTGAGGTCTTTACTGACCACGGTGAGAACTCGTAACACCCATGCCATGTATGCTTCTGAGGCCAGTTAGCTGATATACTTTTTCATGTGTCAGTCAGAAGGACCTTTTTAGTGTCAGTAACTTTAACTAGTAGTTAAACTAGTAGTTAAAGTTAGGAAGAGCTTACCTTATCACTAACTTCCTAATTATGTGCCTAAGGCGGGGGTGGCCAATCTTATCCGCAAAGGGCCGGTGTGTGTGCAGGTTTTCACGGTAACTCCCTAATTATATTACTAATTAGAGGACTGATTGGCTGAAGAGTCCTCACACCTTGGTTTGAACAGCTGACCTACAGGTTATCCCAAAAACCTGCATACACACCGGCCCTTTGCGGATAAGATTGGCCACCCCTGGCCTAAGGGATCGATATTAATGCATTGATTAGTACGACTAACCAGCAAACTGGTGTAGGTGTCTAGGATTCTGGAGTTATAAGATACACACAGGGATTCTGGAAAACATTTTGTTAAACCAAAAATACGGCACATTTCCCATAGGATTATGCTGAGGGCTTTGTGGGTCTGGTAATCGGCTTATATACTGACGGTTGGGCCAAAGCCTTGGTACCATTCTTCATCATACTGTAGCTTTAGGGTTAGCTGTCTTGTATTCCTGTGATAGACACAGCCTTGAATGTCTTTTCTCTCCGGCTTTTTAACTGGTACCATTTCCCATTCCCCTTCCCTTCCTCCCTACTTTTCCAGCAATGCGGGGTGATGTCAGAGCACACGAAGAAGATGTGCACACGGTAAGGACCAGAGCATGCCGATTCGTGTCATGTCACTTCTAGGAGAGTGTGACAAGCCGAAGCAAAACGTAGTCACATGTGATGGCCGCTATCGGTCGGCATGTGATTCTTGTGCAAATCCTGAACCCTGGTGACCCTGAAAATGTCCACCCATGTCTGGTTGTTGTCAGTAAGTGTTATGTTCATCCTTTGCCCAACTCCGACTCGAGTATTTTGGTTGACGACCCTTTTCATTTTGAACATGTGTGTGAGCTGCAGGGAGAAAACCCACACCTCCCACCAAAAAAACATGCAAAAATGCGATAGGAGTTCCTGGAACACGGTTGGCGTAAATGATTTCAAGAGATGGCTGTTTTTTGTACTACAGATGGAAGTGCTTTTTCTCTGGGTTGGGTTCTGTATTGGGTACACAAGTGGCAACTATATTCTTTTCATTTTGGCATTAGTGGTATTAAACATCTGAATTCAGAAATAGCTGTGACCGGCTCATTTTAAGCAATAATCTGTATGAGCCTGTCCTCCTTAAGCAGTTTTAGAATTCATAATTTGATTTCAATATTCTGAAGTGATACAAATTTTCTTTATCTCTTTTTTTAATTGCCAATTGGATCAAAGACCCCGGTTTGGAGCAGCCTGCCTTGTCTGGCCCTGGGGGGGGGGGGGGGGGGTGTTTAGGCAGGGCCGTTGTTTTCATTTTGATTTCGGCAGGTGCTTTGGGGGGGTTTAATGCCACATTGTGTCCCACCAGGTCTCTGCGGTGTCCCCAGCACACGGACGAACAGAGGAGGACCGTCCGGGTGTTCCTCCTGGGGCCAGCCGCGTGAGTGATGCCCACGTCCACACGTCACTGGCTGATGACACCACTGTAGGCAGAGATGGGCAGGACCCAGTTGACACCACTGTCTGGCGTGCTACAAAAAAGTTGGCCGATGAATGACATCAATTTGTTGCTATGTTAAGTATGCCTGAAGAGGCTTAGGCACAAACCCAGGGTGTTATGTTGGAGGGCTCTGGATGGACACAACTCTTACTGAGATCACCCATGACTCAGGGAATTTAAACTAAAGAAATCTTTTCAGCTAACTACCAACATTGTTTGAGAAGTTATTACATTCTTTAGTGGTTCGTCAGTAATGATTTGCATCTCTTGACAATGCTTTTTGAAGTTATCAATTTGTAGTCCACAGACTGTGTACTACTTTTGAATTTGAAAGGGTACAAGTGTTGGCCCTTGTGGTACACCGACATTTTCTTCCCCTATTCTTGTGGGTATTGCCTGTGATTGACTTTTTCCATTGACAGGTCGTCGTTGCCTGATGTGGATGGGGTGGTGGAAAACGATGGTTACGATGTCCCAGATGGGCAGGCTCTGATGAGCCGGCTACAGTGGGATGGATCTTCTGACATCTCTCCTTCGGACTCTGCCTCCTCGAAAGCGAGTGAGTGTGGGAATCTCAGTACAACTACCTAGGATGACCAGTGCTGAGCTGCTAGCTCTGGTATATTAGGCTTCTCAACTATGCCCCACTGTTTCAGGTAGGCAACATTGCCACTTTGTCCCAGACTGTGTGTGCCATGACAGCATGGCCCTCATCGTCTGAGACAAAGTGATATTCCTTGTAGTGATGTAAATCAACATGTGTGTAAGCAAAATAAATAATAAAAATTAATTGCATTCGTTACTAAAACACTGTTGCTAAAAGGTGATGTCTCTGTTGCCCATACATCATATCCAGGTGATGGTTATAGATGTTTCTGTTGTTCAAATTATTTTGACATTTGCCTCCTTGGTCACTGCCATGGCTAAATGCAGATGTTAGTCATACTCATCCTATCGAGCTCTCATTTCTGGCCTCTCCCTCTCCAAAGGCACCAATAACTCTGATTCCAAGAAGCCCAAAAAGAAGAAGAAGCCGTCCCTTGGTCTGAACAGCGGTACGTGTGGGGGACCTGGGAGCGGCAGCTGCGCCGCGGTTGGGGCCGGGACCACGGGCAGCGGCGGTGGCGGAAGCTCACAAGGGAGCCTCGGCCTCCCCAGTCGCAAGAAGAAGCCCAAGCTGCCGGCACCCCCAACCCCCAGCATCTACGACGACATGAACTAGCACCATCGCGTTCCTCCCCATCCCAGCGCTCATGGAGGAGACGGAAATCGTGGCAGCCGCTCGGTGGTGAGCCCCCATGGGCTGAACGGGACCTCGCTCCTCATAGTGTCCCCCCCCCCCACCCCGGCGTTAATTAGCCCACATGAACCTGCAGCCTAACTTCTGGAAAGGGTTCTCCATCTCAAGTTTCCACTTGTGGTCACCCTAAGGGTGTGTGTATATGTCTATAAGATCTAGAGTCACCTGGATCGCAGCTGCTATGGTAATTCAAGGACTCCTGACTTCTGAAGGAGAATGTTATTTTGGGTCCCATTATAATTATTCTAATTATTTTATTATTATTTTCTGAAATGGTGAGGTGGTGAGCTTGTTTGTTTTAGATGTTTCACTGAATTTTCAAACCCCAGCAGTGGGCAGACCACAATTACAGAATCAGGGCTCATTGCACATGGTGTACTTACGATCAGTCTCATGCCCTTTGGTTAAACAAGGTAAGTGTAATCAATATAACTGAATCATAGACGAGCAAACAGTTTTGGTTTGATTTTGTTACTGTAGGCAAGGGACCAATCGACCGGTTTTTGTCTCATTTGGTTGTTTATGGTGTCAGAGGTGATGTCATTCAGATCATGTTGATGAGAAAGGAACTGCATAGCCACAAGGGCGGTGCTGTTCTCACCTGCTTGAGCCACTGGATCATGGCTTTAGGACATTGCGGGGTCCTTAAATGAAAGGGGGTGGCTACAAAGGGGAGTACGCTACATTCCAGATTGGTCTGTTGCACCCTCACCCCCCCCGAACTGACAAAGGCATCTTTGTCGTGAGCAGCAAAGTGGGTTCTTCTGCGTGGCCAGTTTGTCTCAAATGGCATTGGACCTCATGGGTGTGTGGATTTGTGGCGCCATCATGCTCTTTTGGGATGCCGTCGTGGGTGTTTTTGTGTTTCCTGTGAGTGTATGAGCATTAAGTGTCTTTATGGTGAACACACAGATGCACCTGAGGTCGGTGTCGTACATCATGCACTTCCCCGTGGCCATTACTGAGCAAGTCAGGGCTCTTGCATTTGTGTGTTTGTTCAGGAAATTTGCAGGTCCTTGCCAGTGTCCGGGAAGTCCAGTGCGGGTCTGCCTATCGAGGTTCACCCATGTCACACATGAGTTGAGATGGAAACCTGTGAGGCTCCTCGCATCTGGCCGGCCTTACGCAGCCTCCACAGCGGGGCAGTAACCAGGGCCGCCGTGTGTTAGTACCGTAGTCAGAAGCTCTCGGGTATGTGTATCGCTGGAATTTTAACTGCTGTATACCTCAAGTGTTCGGGAACCGTGGATGTGATTTGACACAGCATGAAATGCACAAGAAGACATTCTGCCCTCTTTCCTTTAGATTTTGTGGTGCTGATGATTTTATTTTTTTTTTTAAAAAGAGAAACCTTTTTCTGTTGATTCCATACTCCGTATTTCTGGATTGGTTTTGGTTGCAACTAGTTATGATGAACTCTGATGAAGTTTAAACTCAAGGAAAAGTTTTAAGATCCACGTAATTATTTAAAGGTGTGTAGTTTGAGACAACAGCGGGTGGGACTAATGTTCGTTGACCTGCATTTCGTTCCGATTCACACATTTCGAGCTCAAAAAGCCGATTTCTGGAATTCCCACGCATAAAAACATCCCTTTAAAAAGTGAGTGAGATCGCCACACTGCTAATTGCTGGCAGAAATTATGTTTCATTGTACGGATCACGGTGGGGATGTGGGGGGTGCGTGACATGCCACACTTGACCTTGTGGGGGCAACATTCTCACACCTTGGTCTCAGTCGGTTGCAATATTGGCATATGAGACAATAACTTTGCAAGTCAGCTGAATGAGGAAAAATCACACAGGCATGTGCATGTGTTTATTGTATATGTATATATATATATTTCACAATGTACAGCTAGTTATTGTCATTTTTTCAACTTATCGTGTACTGTGGTTGCCTAATAGTCTGAATAAAACTGTCATTCAGGTTTCCCTTTTGTTCAGCCTTAGTGTCTCCATAATGCATTCATGAACATACAGATGGCAGCAGATACAATGTATATCGCTTTGGATTTCATAAACGAGGCAGGTTAATGCTGTGCTGATGCTGGATGATGCAGAGAAATATTTTCTTTTACTCTTCTAGGACAATATCAATTTGTGAGACTAGCTGAAACAAACTGTGGGCACGGGATGGTCTCCTGTTTTGCCCAGGTTATTTGATATTAAGACAAAACAGCTAACTGCAACAGCACTGAAGGCTACACTTTCCCAGATATTACCTACTATGGGGGAAAATGCTCTTAATGCACTGGAAATGATGAAAAAGTTTTCTATGTGAATTGTACCAAAATAGACGGTGCAGACATTTGACACATTACAGTTCTAAATACCCTTAAATGACAATGCCAGTATTTCCACTCCTGCTGTGACCGGCTCTGTGTCTAAATGGAAGCCTGTTATCCTTCTCGCCCTGTGTGCCATTGACCTGGAAAGCAGGTGCTAAGGCTATCCCAAAGCACGTTGAATAGTGTTTTGCAGAATCACTTCCCTTCTCCCAAGACAGCCTGTTATTCACATAGGTCTCTCCCTCAACGTGCAACACCAGGCCACCTTGGGAGGGCTGGAGACTGGGCAAGCGCTTCTGAAGCGTCGTCACCCATCCGTCTCAAGAAGCCAGCCAACGGAACGTGCTCTCCTGGCGTGCCAGCTAAGGGGGCAGTGTGGGCGTAGGCCCTGGCCCGCTCTCCAGGCCGCACCTTGCTCCGAGCAGGCTTGGCAGCTCACCGTCCCGATGACCCGGTACGTACTGCACCATCCCGATAACCGAACGCTCGGGGGAGGGGACGCCTTGGCCGCTAGTCCTGCTATGGAAGCAGATGCAAGGTGGGTGTGAAACACTTTAATTTCTGCCACACTGATAAGCACATTAGTGACATTAGCACAAACATCACTTAAAAATGCCTGTCAGGACTTTTACGAATGGTGTAGTCAGCCCCCCCCAGCAATCCAGAAATGCCAAATGTAGCATCCAATCTGACATACAGTAAGTTAATTTATTTACATACTTTCCTTGAAAATGGTTACTTCATTACACACACTCCCGAAGAATTACTTTAGACGAACTATTTTTCATTACTGAAAACTCAAGCAAAAAACTGCTCTTTCATAATACAATAATTAAATTGAAAATGAACATTGTGTAGGCTGTAAAGACGTGTCAAAGCAGAAATGTTACAGGTTTAGTATCACAAAAACCAAGGAGAGTCGGATCATTTGTCTAGTCCACGTAGAAGTCAGATGTTTGGTTGTGAGATGGGATCTATGGGGTAGGTTGACGTGGCAGAATGCAGAGGGGTGATTGGGCCGTTTGGGATGGTGATGGCAGTAGGATGTGTCCCTGCACAGCCAGTGATGTCATCTTCACCCCCAAATAGAGTGTGACTGAAACACTCATTGACAACCATTACACAGAGTCCGCAGGGCTGGTTACGTGGCCGACGGCTGATGTATTATGGGCTGTTGCTGTGTGGCTGTACCCAGGTTTCTGAGGACACTAACAAGGGCGGCAGCAGCCTGGAGCTTAACTCCAGAATACCCCCCGCCCCGAATCTCGAAATTAATCAGTGTTTATTCCACATCTCCCCATCCATCTTCCTCTGCTTCTGAAGAGGCTCACAGCCTAAAAGGATGATTATGCCCCGATGTGTAGGACTGTGATCTTGCTACCGCAAAGGGGGTGCCACATTTTGAGGTCAAAATTGACCTGGAACCACCCTACAGCTTCAAGTTAACAGAAGTCTGGGGGAGAGGGCTCTCTTCCAGCTTCTGCTTTGAACTATGAATTGGCTGAAGGTAGGGCCCTAGAGATCCACAGGCAGAGAGGTCTGCCGCGACTCATCCAGGGATGGAAATTCTGACCAAACCAAAGGTCAGATGCTGAGGACCGACTTGCCACCATTGCCATGTGACAGATTCCGCTCTGTTTGACCTTTTCCTTCTACAGAAAAACCAAAACGTTTCATACAGATGTCACCCCACCTCCCCAACAAGCTATTACCTCCAACAAAGACACCAGCTTAGACATGCGTGTGCAAATTAATTCAGAAGCGGCTGCAGCTACATGTTCACGTGTCTCAACCTCGCCTGAAGCCATACGCCACAGAACAGAGTGGTCTGCCAGATATTCATTCTTCAAGCCCCGAAAACCTCACCAGGACCATTGGCTTTGCAGGGCTCTCGTCACATCTCACCGACTGTACATGCCGAAGATGAGGAAACTGAAGAAGATGGTGACGCCCACCAGAGAGACTGTTGCTGGGGCTGTGAAGAACTGCCGGTAGTTGATGCGGAAATACCAGACGACGGCCAGCATCACCACGAAGACGGGTACCACCAGGCTGCCCGTGCTAAGGGCCAGGCCCATGCCTCCGGCCCTCTGGCCGACACCTGGCCCCACCGGCTCCACGGCCGTGCGAGCCCCGCCCTCTGACCCACTCTCCTGCTGGGCCTGGGAAACGTGGCAGTGGATGACGCTGTTGTGGGTGATGTTGAGGGACAGCAGTGTTCGCTTAGGGTCCTGCAGAAGTTGACCCTGGAAGATCAGCTTGATCTGCTGCTCCTGGCCCGAGAAGTACTTACTGGAAGATGGGGAAAAGGGGAGGTGGCAAGCAGAAGACCAGGGTCAAAGTCAAAGCTCACAAAAGCATCTCAAAGTGTATCTGGCAACCCTGCAGTCTGAAATTTGTTTGTTACCATTACTGCAAGTCATCCCGTAATTGATTTCACCTTGTGGTGTTTCAAATTTCATTTGAAATTCACGTATATAGGCAAAAATTTTACTGTGGAATTGACTAAAGTTTTTTTTTAATGGTACTTTAATTTCACAACTAGTAATTGAGGTGTCCATGTTTAAATTTGTGATTAAACACAATTAGTTAAGCCACTATTCTCAAACAACATACAAAAGGAACAGAATACCAATGAGTTAAATACTATATACATGAAAGTAGTCGTCACAGAAACACAGCATGGTCAGCTTGCTGTAGGCATTCATGGCTGTGGCAGTGCATCATGGGAACCCTCAAATTGAAACTGGACGTGCTCCAAAGCAGCTTTACAGCGTTTAAGCTCCCCGGGCAGCAGTGTGATTAGGGATGTGGATTTAAGCTCCCCGGGCAGCAGTGTGATTAGGGATGTGGATTTAAACTCCCTGGGCAGCAGTGTGATTCGGTATGTGGATGTAAGATCCCCGGGCAGCAGTGTGATTAGGGATGTGGATGTAAGCTCCGCAGGCAGCAGTGTGATTAGGGATGTGGATGTAAGATCCCCGGGCAGCAGTGTGATTAGGGATGTCGATGTAAGCTCCCCGGGCAGCAGTGTGATTAGGGATGTGGATGTAAGCTCCCCGGGCAGCAGTGTGATTAGGCATGTGGATTTCTAACGGAAGGTTGCGGGTCGAGGTTGTGGCTCTGTGCTCACGGCTACAGAGATATCCAAGTAATTCCTAGTTATGCGTATTAATCTTCCACGACCTTTGCTGAGACAGTGCAAGCTTAAAGGGGCACTGGCCACCAGTTAGGAATTATGTTCACAAAGTCACTGATTTAGGGCTACCTCTGCCTCACCTTTTGAGCAGACTGATAGTGTCCTGGGGTTTGAGCACGGCCAGCTCCTCTGTATCATTGAGGAACTTGAGACGGACAGTGATGTCAGGGCCAGAGATCCTGCCCGCAGGGGAATCCTCTTCCCGCTCGACATCCTCCTCTCCTTCAGGCTGCAGGGCAGGATCACCGCTGATAGCACCCGCTCTCTTGCGTAGCCCTTGAATGTTCAGCAGCTGGTCGACGCTTGCCTCTAGGGCGGCGCCCTCCCCAGCTGCCTCCACTGCACCCTCCTGCCCCAGGTCTTCGTCCTCCGGTTTGTCCTCCTGGACAGGGTCGGGTGCCTGCGGCTCAGTCGTGTCTGCGCCAGGGGGCCCCCCGATATAGGCATCGTGACCACCCAGGCCGATCAGTGAGGCGTGGGCGCCAACCGTAAGGATGGTGCCCAGGATGTGGTCTCCACGCTCCACGACATGCGTGGATAGCCAGGCCAGCACCAAAGCCAGGCTGAGCAGCACCACTCCACCAGCCACCGTCACCTCGTCGCTCACTCCATCCAACAGGGTGAGAGCACACAGCGCCATCCCTGCGGCTGCTGGGAAGGGTTCACAGTACACACAGGGCTCAGTCAGCACTGGAGTCCCCTTAATGCCTTACGGTACACAATACATCAGGCCATTAGTAACGGGCAAAGGTTACTTATTACGAGCTAGTTAACACCCTATTCGGGGACACCCATGACCCAAAAAAGACGGAAACAAGGACACTGAGGGAAAATACCAAAACATCTTTAATGTATCTCCACTGCTTCGCGATTGATTATTTTTTTAATCTTGTTTTTGACATATCTAGCTAGCGTTTCCTATGTGGTACACACGGTCAGACACTAAATATTACAAAACAAATACGACTTAACGACACGGTAAATGGCACCTCAAAGGAAATTCACTGCAAATTGATGTTTTTAATGAGGATAATGGAGGGGAAAGTGTTCGAGTTATGCTAAATGGCGAACTATGGTCTTTCCCGAATGGGTAGCGGTTTCAGTACCGTTTAAATAACTCCATATTGATCCTACGTGGTGTATCGGCGGATTACCTGGATGTTTAAACCGTGCAAATAACTACATGGCACTCTGTTTTATGCTGTTTACACCACCATAAAATAACGCGGAGCTGCGGTCGGCCGCCACGACCTTCGCTAGGCTGGGACGTCTTTATTTAGTGTTAGCATACCTACCCCCCTCAACCGCCCGCCCCGGGCCGCACGTTAACTCCAACCAACCCCGAAAAACAGCGTGACGGCCCGCTTTACCTGAGCTGTGTTCAGACCATTTCAGTCAGAAGTGATTGCGACGCGCGAAACGGCCGAGAAGAACCTCCATTAGCCGTCCGAGCACGCGCAGTCGCGCGCTCACGCGGATGCATACACACACACACACACGCGCGTCCGAGGTACGTCACTGGGAGGGCGGAGCGTTCACGTTACGTTGAAGCACGCAGCGTGTAGTCCAGGTCAACAAAACAGGACACAGAAGACATCCCGAAACACCCCACCCCACATTCTGTTCAGCCGCAGCTGAACATGATTTTATTCAAAGTAAAATTTTCCTCATTATTATCGCTTGTCTGTATTTCTGAGGTGGAGGGACCTCTTGTGTAGACATGGCATCTGGGCAGATATGCTCCTCTGGTCATTCCCTCTCTCACCGCAGCTGCCCATCTGTGCGGAGAAGGAGGTAATCCCTCACAAAAGCAGGCATGCCCAGCTTGCTTATCGCCGTTTGGTACAGCGCCCCCAAGTGATGTCGCAGGCTGCAGCGGCAGAGGTGCTGCAGTGAGCGTGGCTGGCCCACCATCCGCAGCACAGACTCAAAGAAGGGTCGGTGTTCCTGAGAGGGGAGGAAACAGGGATGGGAGGAAGATGGGATGCAGGGGAAACGAGGGATGAGTTAGGGTAAAGGGGGAAAAAGAGCAAACGGTAACGGATTGTAAGGCGAGGGAAAGAAGCTACTCATTGCGGCAGTGAGCTATTAGGAAATTTGGAGGACCAACAAGAGAAGGCCGAGTTTGGCATGGATTCAGGCACTTGATCCAGATTTGAGTCTACTGGGATTGCACCCAGCAAGGGCAGGTTTTGCAGAAGGTTGCTGGTTACCTTCGAAACGGGGATGATAAACTGGGAATTGGGATAGAGGTGAGGGGGCACTGGGAGGCTCTGAATACAGACGTCAAAGAGGATTATAGGTTATTCAAGCCTTCAAATAGAACCAGTTTGTCAGGGTTTGTTGTGTTAGTTTAGTCCAACAATGTCCGTCTCAGATTTACACTACTACAGTTGGGTGTGGCATGTTAGCCAGGGCAATGGAAAAAAAATGAGACCACTATACTTTTAAACAAATCTGCATTTTTTAATCCTGGTTTAATCCTGGTTCTGCTGGCAGAAGGCTACACTGCGAGACAGGCTGCTTCCAGGCTCAAAATCTCCAAGACAGCAGCACACAAGAACAAGGCGAAGCTGGAGGCACTGGGAACGACCAAAAACCAGCCAGGTAGACGGAGGAAGAGACTTCCTAATGCCGTCAACTTATCCGACAGTTTCTCGTGAATCTTAGGATGACATCAAGTGACCTTCAAAACGAATAGGATACATTAAGTGCTCTGCTAGGACAGTTCATATCAGGCTCCTAGAAGCAGGACTGAAGAACCATAAAACAAGGAAGAAGCTCTTCATTAATGAGAAACAGAGAAAAACCAAGTGGCAGTTTGCGTAATATATACAGATGCTCCTCTACTTACGAACTTTCAACTTACGAACTTTCAGACATACGAACGAAGAGGACTGTAAGTCCAAATTGTGTTCCTTGGGCTCCCGTTTCCTGTTCGCAGTATCAATTTTTTTTTTCTGCGCGCCAATTCCGCCCAGTACGACTTCTGGCCGCTACTCCCGCCGCACAGCAGCGTAGCGTGCGAACTCCCAGCATCCTAGTTCCTTGTACTTGCGTATGATGTTGAATAACGACTTACGAGCATTTCAACTTCCGAACGGCCGTTCGTAACGTATCTCATTCGTAAGTAGAGGAGCGTCTGTATATATAAATTATAATATATTATTCACTGATGCAGACCCAAAAATTGAGAAATGAGTGAAACAAAAAATTCCGCTGTGGTCTCATTTTTTTCCACAACTGTTTTTAGACTGTACTTTCTTATAGTGTTACGAGTTGCTTACACACACATTGTAAGCATGACTCTAGAGTAGAGTCTGTCTCTTCGTGAGACATCTTGACCACTGACCACCTGCTACTGTGTGTCTTTTCTCACGCCTCTCACCTCCCAGAGCTCCGAAGGGACGGAGTCTATCCATTCATCACACGATGGGACAGTGACGTAGCAGTCCAGCATGACCTCCAACGTGGACGGCGACAGACAACACAGCTTCAGCATCTAGGGTGGCGTGCAGGGATACGATGAGCGTGAGAACCTTGGGGGCGCCCAATGTGCTTCATACTAGAAGTCTGTCAGAAGGGCTCCACCTTCTGGCCAAAAAATATAAGCCCAGAGATTCTAACTCTCATGTAATTAAAAGGGTGTTTTAAATGAGTTTTGGCAGGGAAAGTCTCTTTGATGAGGGCATGAATAAAGCTGGTTGATGTGCATTTTCTTTTACCTGAAATAGACTCAGCTAATCTATTTCTTGTTCCCAATATCCTTGCAAAACTAAGTTTTGTTATCTTCCTCCCACAGTAAATGTGCCCACACCAGCCCTTGTTTAGCACTTCAGCGACTGACTACCAGTTTGTTTTATTCTTGCATGTGTTTCTCCCGGTGTTGATGCCGAAACATCGATCTTTGTTTTTGTTCATTCCAACCCTGTGACTTGACCCTGTTCACCCTTGCCAGCCAACAAAAGCATTGCACTTTGATTTGACAAAAATAGGTGTGAATCTACCAATGACAGCTTGGCTTTCTTTTCCCTCCGGCGAATTACTTTCCCTCTTTTAGACATCTGTCCCCTACTGCCCAAGCTGCTTTCCCTTTCACCCCCTCCAGGGCTGCCATCTGCCTCCACATGTCATGTCCTGACCTTGGGCAAGGGGGGCTGTGTCCCATGGTTGAGGAGAGCGCGAGCCACTGCCTCTGGCCCCTGGTCAGGGAAGTCTTCCACCACCTGCAAGGGCAGGGGGTTAGAAAGTGGTCATATCCTGGCTATGCGCGGTGCCACCTCCATCCACCAGGGGGCAGCAGTCAGAACTCTTTCTAATTAACAAGAGCACTGCTTGTATGACTCATTCACATATTAATATTTATTTTGGCGAAGCAGATTTAAGAACAGCAGATATATAGTGTTACGTCTCTTTGCTACATCACTGATGCCCCCTTATTCCTGTTACCTGCAGAAGGCAGTCCATGGGCGTGTAGCCTGCGCAGTTTTCTGCATTTGCTTGCGCTCCGTGCTGCAGCAAGAGGTCGACGATGCGCGAGCTGCAGTTGCTGCAGGCATTGTGCAGGGGGGTGTGTCGCTTCCTGCCCGCTGTCCGGGGGTCGGCGCCGGCCCGTAGCAGCGTCTGCACCACGCGCAGGAAGCGGCCGGCCTCGCTGGGCCGCTCGGCCCCCGCGCAGGCCGCGTTCAGCGGGGTCTCTCCCTCGCGGTTGCAGGCGGCCACGTCGGCGCCGTGGCGGAGCAGCAGCTCCACGTGCTCCTCCAGGCCGCGATGGGCGGCCACGTGCAGCGGCGTGAGCTTCGCCTCGCTGGAGCACGCGTGAGCCGAGGCCCCGCCCACCTCCAGCAGGAGCCGAGCGCACCTGAGGAGGAGAGGGCACCAGACAGCCAAACGGGTCAGCATCACGATCACCACCAGTCCGATGAAGGAGGCAGTGAAAAGAACGGTAAGATGACCAGAGCTGCCAATGACAGTCCACTTCCGCAGGTTCATAGGAATCAGTAACAAAAGAAACATCATCCTGCCATTATGCATAATAATATAATATAATATAATGGACCTAGGATCATCATCATCTTCTTCTCTCTGTGCTGGAACCTCACCATTACCGTTCACGTCCAACTCTCTACATATTGTTTTCAGGTTTAGATTACCTACAGATATATAAACTCTATGATCAGTCTTTTTTTTTTTTTTTTGTAAAACAGGCCAAACAGGTCTGAAGAGAGCACAGCAGTTCCCCAAGGACAACACGGACCCCAGCCATGTGTCCCTTGCCCTCCTGCCATCTGGCACGCACTATATGAGCGCTGCAGAAACACCAAACCGACAAACAGCTTTCTTCCCCAAAGCATTATGTATTCTGAACTACACATAAAGACTCCTGTATCATTTCAGCATGACCATTGCTACACAGAAACCTTTGGAGCCTACCGAACACGTTATAAAATGGGCTTTAAAATAACAGATCACACATGTATAAACCAGTAACAGGCACAGCAATCCTGGATAAATATGGAACGTATCTGCAACATGGAATCTAAACTGTCCATCAGTCTATCAGATGGAAAGTTCAGGTCCAGAAAGTAAAAATTCAGACCAAGGTTTTGTTGGTTGAAACAAAATCTTGGTCTGGATTTTTACTTTCTGGACCTGAACTTTCAACCTCCGTGGAAAACTGCTTATCTGGCTTGGTTATCCAGCTAATATCCAGTTCATCTACTGGGATCCAAAGGCAGCACATGGACTGGACAGTCACACTGAAATTCTGAGACGATAACCCTCGACTGGAGGTTGATGTGGAAGAGCATGCAAACCCAGAGAACCTGTAACCTCAGTGTCTAAGGCATCAGCGGTGGGATGTCTCTGTTTGCATATGGCAGCGGGACGGACGCTCACGAGAAGGTCTGTGCAGAGCTGCAGAGGTGCAGAGCGGCGCTGCCATCGGCGGTGAGCAGGTTGGCATCGGCGCCGTGGGACAGTAGCAGCTGCACACAGGAGTCATGGCCCCCAGCGCAGGCGTCGTGCAGGGCGCTTCTCCCCCCGGGGTTGGCGTTCACCGCGGCACCACGGAAGAGCAGCTCCTCCACGCAGGCCGAATGACCCCGGCTAGCCGCCAGACGCAGGGCAGACGTCTGTTTCACCTTAGATGTGAGGGTCCACATCCCTGCGGACAGGGCGGAAGCGGACAGAGAGATAAAGAGGGTGCCACAGCCAAAGCGGGCATCATCGTCAAAGGACATGCAGTGACATCATCAGGATGTTTCAGGTGACATCATTGGGAGGTTTCTGATGATGTCATTGGGATGTTCCTGATGACATCATCAGGCAGCGTCACTGTCCCCACCCATCTCTGGTGCCCAGGTCATCTCCTCCTGCACTGTCTCCATCAGGGCATTGACCATGGTTGGGTCCTTCAGGACGGCGTAGACCCTGGCCATGTCACCGGACAGGAAGGTGTTCAGCACGGCAGGGTCACGGCAGCGGTAGGGTCCCAGAGTGCGTGATGTGGTACTGGGGCTGTGCTGCTGCCTGGGTGCCCTGGGGACGGGTGCCAGGGGTGTCCTCGTCAACGCCCTCCTCTGGGCCAAGGTGCGGCGTGCATCCTCCCAGTCCTGCAACTCTTGCTCCAGTCGAAAAGACCTCAAAGAGGCTGAACTGAAGGCAAAGGTGTCCTTGGACATACCAGCCAGAATTGAGTCTGATTTCGCCTTCTGCGGGTATAGTATGAACAAAAATGACGGATCATAGGGCACCAAATCTAATCTCAGAATACTGTGAGTGCAGATCATGGTAATTTAAGCACCAAGGCACAAGGTATAGTGAATTAAAATTAAACCTGAATCTATTATAGAAATTGCAGAATTAAATATATAATTCAAAAGCCTTGCAACTTCTATTTAGATTGTATCAAAACTGTCACACACTATACCGTCAAACAGATGTTAATGTTACATGCTTCCCAACTTTGGTCAGCTGGCTGGAGTGAGATTTTCAATTCGAGATGAGTCTGCACTCATATGCACACGCATTTATATGTATATAACAATTTTGTTACCTTGTAAATACTCTGCATGGTTTGCAAACTACCCCAGCGCTTTTGGTGTTTGTAATGGAATAATATAGATTTGCCGTAAGTCTGAACGCGTGAGTGTCACGCCAGATGCGTGCGAGTTGGTAACACTGATGTTACTTTGCGTGTCGCTTTACTTCTTACCGTTATGACAGTCCTTTACCTAATATTTATCGTTCTTCTTTTAAAACTCGACCGCCGCACGCCGCACTTCCATTCTCACAGTAGGCAACCGCGAAATGCCAGACGGCCGTTTTTAGAAAGGCCCCGTCAGTCACAAGACATAAACGACCCACTTCAGCCCGGCTTCTCGTTTATTAATAGGCACGGACCCACCTGCTGCTTGCCTGCTCGGCGACACGGCCGATAGGGGGCGTCCGCGGGTCAACGATGGCCGCCAGATTGGTATTTGGGGGGCCGGAGCTCCCCCTGTCGTCTGTTCTTCGGAACTGCAATGCATCGCTTCTTCCGCCCTGGCGTCAATGCAGACGTATTACGTCACGGAGGACGCGCCACGTCTGCGTATCTTTGAACCGAAAAGCGGCCGCGTAGCCGCGTTTAGGATACAGCCTGTATCATCATGGCTGTAATCGTCGCTGGGTGGATGAGTTTTGACAACTTTTGAGTCTCGAGCATGCAAGACAAACACGGGAATTGAAACGGACGCCTAAATGACTGTGATGGTGAGAGTCCGCTCCTTGTGCCCTGCCACTGAAAAGGCACGCCGAAGCTTGAGTAACTGGGCAGCTAGTAAACATCTCCCAAACTTACCTGTGCGTTAATAGTGCGCTACGCACTCACAGGACGACTGGGTAGTTTAAAATTTGAACTAAACTTTTAAACTTAAAAAGAGCCCTTGCTTGCTGTCTCTTTATTCTTTATTTCAACTTAATAATGCTACTTCCAGGCGAACAAGTGGAAGGACCTTTTTAACGTTGGAGAAGACTTCGACGAGGTAGTGTATTGCCTTGTTGCATGAAAACGTCAACAAACCAACCAATCTCATTATGGTATTACTGTATTTTGCGAGTGGTTCCATTTTTCTCGTTGTCGGTTTGATTTTTAGAAGATTATTTTCTGCTAATGTGGTTTGCATTAAACATGTTTCAGGTTTAAAATTGCACGCCTGGTACACTAAATATTACAAAGGATCTAATCTTTTATGTAGGTACGAGTCTCGAGCTTCCAAGACAAGCCATTAACCACTTTTCCTTTTAAGATTAATTACTTAAATGTGTTGCCGCAGGATCTGCTGCATGCAGATTGGGATGTGGAGACGGAGCCCGTCCCTGCGGCCACAGAGTCTGTTACCGCAGCAACCTGCCTCAGAGCCCCCTCCGGCCTTCGTAGCCAGATGGCCGTGAGTCACCAACCCCTTGCTCGGGCACTGACACATGGGAGTACAACATGTCACCCTCTGGGCACCTCCGACCTCAGCGGTGACAGAAAGGCTGCTGGTTCGAGCACGAGGGCCAGTTTTGCCGCTCCCACAAGGCAGGACCCTCTGACTTCGGGCGATCAAAAGGCTGATGCCTTCCGGGATGACTTTGATGACTGGGATGTGGACTTTGAGGACCTGGATGAAAACACCCTTCAGCTGCCAACTGAGTCTGACCCACCTGTCTCAGTACTACCTGAGCAGGACTCCGCAGTATCCCCCGCTAAGCGAATGCGTGGCCCGAGTTGCATCAGCACCGGATCAGGGTCCAGCGGCCTGCACTCTGCTGATGGTCCAGCACCCAGGCCTGTCGCCAACACCGTCCTTCGTCCAACTGGAGCTGCCTCCTTGGTGCGACCTCAGACGTCAGCTGCAGCGAGATCCACTGCCACGTCACATGTACCCGGAGGCTCCGCCCTCTCCACGTCCTACCGGCCGCGGCCCTCTGTGATTGGCTCCACGCCTCTGATGCCCCGCCCTCTGCGGACTCCCATCCTCACCAACCACTTGGTGCAGCTTGTGTCAGCCTCCAGCAGGACGCCGCCGAAGCCCCGCACGCCAGCGCCGGGCCCCCAGACGCGCCGTTTCCCAGGGCCTGCTGGTCTTCTGCCCCAGCAGGTGGGCCTCCTGCTGCCCCCAGGGCGTGCCACTCACAGGCTCCCGCCCCCCCCCCTTCTTCCTCTGTCAGTTGCATGATGATTTTCTGCCATCGACATTCCATATATAACCCAGACGAAGAAGGAACGTGTCATATATTTGTGCAGATTCTCGATCTTGAATAATTACAACATTAATGGAAAAAGGAATCCTATCAAATTAAAAGCAGGGTGAAAGAATATAAATATTTTTCTGTTCTTTTCTGCATGAATACCAAAGAAATTATTTATATATATGGTTGCTCTGTGCTCCCAGCAGCTCTATGGGCAAAGCCTTGACGACATTGTGGTGGTGCAGCCACAGACGCCTGCGCACGGAGCCGTGGCCCGACTGCGCAGTCAGGTAACACTGCCGACCCATTTCAGGTTTAAGTTTGGAAATCAGTAAGTAGCCTGTTGCATCGGTGATGCCTTTGGGCTGCATTTAGTCTTCCCACGCTCTAGGTGGCAGCATAGCTGCTGTGAGGGATTGCAGCTCCTGACTCATGTCAGGTTTCTGGCCGGGATGCTGAATTTTGGATGCCCTTAATTTTGATTTTGTGATACGAGCTCCTGACATCTAAAAGAGTGTAATGCATCCCCTCTAAGAGCTGCAGATACAGGAGTCCAGTGGGGGTCGGGACTTGGCTGTCCATAGCGTTCTGAGTCAGTGGGCGGGACTTAACTGCTTTCTTCGCCCCTCCCTCCAGGTCGCTGGCACGCAGGCAGCCAATGAGGAGGATTTCACGCGGGGCCCGTGGGCTGCCATGAAGGCAGAGATGGGCCTGGATGAGCAGAACCCCGCCTGCTTCCTGCACACTTACAGTGTCGTCATGGTGCTGCGGAAGGTTCGGCCTGCCGCCCCCGCTCGCTCGCCGCTACCATCCGGCAAAAGCTGACAGCGCTGCTCCGGCAAGCGGGCACGTTAGGGCAGCTTGATCCGCTTCCCAGATTTTATGCGCGCTGTAGCTTTATCGGCAGCATAATTTGCCATCTTCTTTCTGACCGTGCTGTTGCAGTAATAGCCAAGATTACTGCGCTCGTCTTTCTTTTTAACGCGCCCGTTTCTCCCTGCGAGACGGCACCCTTCCTAGCAGTGGCAGACCATAAACAACCTGAAGGGAATGCCACCATTGGTGTGCTGATTTATTTCACCCCCCCCCCATCTTCCCCTGGTTTGCTCCCCTCCACCAGGCTGCCCTAAAACAGCTTTCAAAGAACAAGGTGCCCAACATGGCGGTCATGGTGAAGGAGATTCTGCACACGCACGCCGACGCCAAGGCCGTGTTCCAGGACCCCACAGGTGCGGCCAGCCCCCCCCCCCCACACACACACAAAAGCACATTAATATTGAATCAATGACTTCAGGCCTCCATGTCCCTGTCTGGGAGGTCACTGTACCATCATGGCCGCAGCTGACCTGCTTCCTGTGAGCGACAGCCATGCTGAGAGGAAAGGCAGCTCGATCCCGGAGTACATACCGCGCCTTGCAGGGAGAGACGACAACGACGCGTCACTGATACGGTTTATTTGTTTAAACACCCGGGCTTTTCCATGGAGGCTGACCGAGCACGATGCTCTCCTGTTAGAGCAAAAGGAATCGATTTGTGTCCTTTTCCCTCGTTCAGCAAATCATTAGAGTCTAAGTGACACCTGCGGACTGCGGCTCTGGACACTTTGCTCTTAATGTTCTGCTGTGTTGGGGCAGCGGGGGGCCTTGGTGGGCGATCCTGTAGCCTCACAGCCCCCCCCCCCAACACACACACACACACACACACACACGGGCAGTTTCCGTGTTCTCTGCATTCTACCCTGGGTATCATCCAGACGCTCCTGTTTTCCTCCTAAAGTGGGGGGGGGGGGCTTATTGAACAAGTTTAAGCCTTCAAAAACAGCCTCTTCTCTTTGGGGGACCGTGTTTGCCTGTTCGTTCACAAGTTGTAATTCATAAATTTAAATGTAGCCCCCCCCCCCCCCCCCCAAACTGCCTCAGTGGCATTTTCCATAATGTAAGGTCTCCGCACCTCCTAAGCCCCTCCCCCCAGAGAGACAGTTTCCTCCCAGAAATCATTGTGAACATGGCCATGAAGTCATGGGATTCACTGAGTGGATTCTGTGTCATTTCAAAATAATCACTATTACGGTTTTCCAAATGCACTAAGCGGCGTTTTTGAAGGTACATTTGGCCAGACGACAGCCAGTCATGAACAGCTGCTCTCATCGATTTGTATTTATAGACACTCTGTGGTTCATTTATCATATGCCTTTTTTTCTCACACTGGTGTCCAGTATGGTATCCAGCCTATACACTCGCACACTTCGTTTTCAGAAAATGTCTTGTTAAGGACTTCAGTCTGTAAGGTGGGTGGTGTCATGCTAGCCACCTTGGAGGTTCACTTCCAGGTCAGGGGTTACTTTTAGGCCTATGGGGAGGCTCAGTGTGGCCTTTTAACTTCCTGGATTAACCGAGTGAGGGGTGTCTCTTCATCCCCTGCGTTTCATTGGGACGCTGGTTTTCCTAAAGCGGGATGTGATATTTCAGTGCCTTTAGGGTTTAGGAGGCATTTTCAGTCGTCCATGTACGTGACATGCCAGGTAAGGTCACCTACTATGCCGGAGGTTGCTTGTAGCAGCGAGGGGCTGAGGTTGTAGGAAAACCAGCGAGCGTCTGCAGTCCTCCAGTGCCCTAGGGGGCGCCCCAAGGCAAAGCTGACTGCTGCGGTTTCGTCAGCCTCCGTCGTGCAGCCACATGAAAGCCTGGGGTGCCTCCTGCCGTTTGCGGGAGCTGCTGGCACCGGGCCCGGGTTCACTCTATCTGTTTGCCACCCCAGGGCAAATGCAGGGCACAGTGCACCGGCGCCTCCTAGAGGACAGACAAGACGAGCTGAAGATGGGAGCTGTGCTGCTGCTGAAACAAGTAAGGCCGTGCACTGGTGAACGATTCCTCCATTCCTCCATCTGTCCGTCCATCACGATCAGCATCCGAACGGTTGTGAAAATCTCTGCACTGGACAGGATGCAGGCAAGCCCTGAATTGTAAAGCCAAAAACAGACATGCCATTACAGTACAGCTAATGTTTGTTTAGCGACGTTCTAATGACCAGGTCATTAAGCCGAACGGTAGCTAAGTGTAAATAACGGTAGCCTGATTTATTTATCCTTCACGAAGTATACATTTTTAACAAAATTTCGTCTGTTGTACTTAAAAGACCTTGCCCCCTGTACCATGCATT